TTCACTTACTTTATTTTGCAGCTTAAGCAAGTACATAGGGATTGCCCCTTTGCTTGAACCGTGTCTCTAGTTCTGCTCAGGGACTACCCAGAAACCTTTGTTAACCTCTTTCTTTGATCTGTCTTAACATAACTGCACTGGGCCCAGTTCTCTAGGGCCTAACATTTGCAACCTGAACTTCTTTAATTCAGTCATTTGAAAAAATGGGTTGTGCCCATGAAAGTTCATGATCCCATCTACGTTTTTTTGGTTAGTTTCTAAGGCTATGTCTACACTGGCTGCTTCTTGCGCAAGGGTTCTTGTGCAAGAAGTCTTGTGCAAAAACACGTCCACACTGCCATGTGTGAGATGTGCTTTTGCGCAAGGGCATCCATGGCAGTATGGATGCTCTTTTGCGCAAGAAAGCGCTGACGGCTGTTTTAGCCATAGGGCTTTCTTGCGTAAGAAACCCCTGCCGATTGTCCACACTGACCTCTTGCGCAAGAGCTCCTGCGCAAGAGAGCTTACACCTGTTAGAAAAGAGCATAGAAAAGAGCAAGAAGCCTTCTCTTACCATGCCCTACTGTAAATCTTCTTACACAAGAGCGGGTGGGCAGTATGGATGCTCTGCGGATTCTTGCGCAAGAACGTCTGTTCTTGCGCAAGAACCCGCCAGTGTAGATATAGCCTAAGAGTGCGTCTAGACAAATTGCGTAGTTTATTCCTGCTTTTGCGCAAGGGCATCCATGGCAGTATGGATGCTCTTTTGCGCAAGAAAGCGCTGACGCGGGTTATGTACAAGATAGGGACTGTAGGTTTGTTCTTAAGTTGAATTTGTATGTAAGTCGGAACTGGTACATATTGTAGGGGAAACTCTAGCCAAACATTTCTCCAGAGCTCAGTTTTATTCTCCCACACCTCTCTTCCCTCAGTCCTTTATTCTCAAGCTGAGGTGTCTGCTGAGAAAAGCCACTCCGCGTCTCCCTGGTCTGCTGGGGGGTGGGGGTGGGGGCGCTAGCTTTGCGTCTCCCTAGTCTGCTGGGGGGAAGCAGCTAGTGCAGGGTTGCCTCACCCAGTTTGTAAGTAGGGATCCGATGTAAGTCGGATCCATGTAACCCGGGGACTGCCTGTATCCTGCCTGGAGTTGCCCATCTCCTGCCTAAATGTCAGAGTGCTTCACAAACTAGGAAAGAAAGGCAGTCAGCCACCTAAATCATGTACCAGAGGCCCAATCAACTGGGCATGGTTGCAAGCTTCCTACTGCATTGGGCCTTTCAGGCTAGTTCACAAAAAACAGCCAGGTGGGAGGCCATCCTTCATAACCTTTAGCCTCATGTACTCATTCTGAATGTGGGAGACACTTCTCTTTGCCACCTTCCTGATTGAAATCCCTCTTCTACTGACTAACACTATGCTAAAGAGCAGAGGTCTTCGATTTGTGGGGCACTTCTCCCAAGGGGGGCATGGAGTAATGTTTGGGAGGCTGTAGCTAGGACCTTTATCACCCCTTCAGGGTGCATGGAGGAAGCACCATCCAGCCCCAGTCCTGGCCCCATCCCTATCTGCTGGCCTGGGGTCCTGGCTGCTGGCCCCACACCGGGTTATGGCAGAAGCTGCAGACCTTGGCTCCTAGCCAAGAGTATGGCTCCCATTCCCACCTGTGGCTCCAGCCTCAACTCCCTTACCCTTGTCTGTTTCCCCTCCTCCCAGAGCTGTGGTCCCACTCCTGGCTCTGGGGGGGCGGAGAGACGGACAGACAAGGGCAATGGGGGCACAAGGTTAAAAGTTTGGGGACTGCTGCTATAGAATCTGTCACTGTCCCAATTAACATTTAATTAAAGCAGAACAACTTCAACAGAAGAGATTGAGGGAGGACACTACCCCTGTATCAGTATATTTCATGGACTCATAGTTAGAGCACTCATCTGTGAGGAGGCCATTTCCTTCTCATTTTGGGTGAGCACCCTACCCACTAGGCTTATGGTTATCAGGGAGGTCTTCCTCCTTGCTTTGTGGTTTCAGGCCCTTCACTTGACTTAGTGGTGGTCAGACACATATCTTCCTCCATTTGTGGAGCTAAGCACCTATCCAAGATAGGGTGGGGCTTAGAACACACTCCTCTTGTCAGCATCTCCCATTGACTAGCTTAGGTGGCACCTCGCAGCATCCTGGCTTTGTGATTCAGAGTCAAAGGTAATTGTCTTTCTCCATTCATTGTGTAGGTGTCTAATTCAGGTTTTGTAGATTGCTGTGTTCTTCCTTTTTTCTAGATACCTTAACATTGGGCTCTGCAATGTTCAGCATCATAACAGCTAAGTCCCCTTATGCACCTGGGCTTCATTGCCTTACTCCTAGTAAATGGCATCTAGACAATTTGATAATACATGCTCTAGAAACTTTATTAGATTATAGCCAAAGACCAAAGTCATTAAGTAATGCTAAAAGCATGTCCAGCTTTGGAAGGCAGGTGGGAAAGTATAACTCTATTACAATTTTAGTTTCTCCAAAAATGCAAGCTGTAATCAGTTTCCTCTCTTAGGAGTTAAGAAAATCCGAGATGGGTCCACAGCAGCATGATTCTGCCAAAAGCAGTCCCTCTGCTGTAACTACATGGACAACTACTAACTATACCTGGGAGTGGTAAGATTTGAAGTGCCATGACAACAACATTTTGAAACTCCAGGCATGTATGGAATAGAGTACATAGCAGTCAGTCCTGAAGTGCACTGGGCATCTAGACAAACCAAAGGTTTGATTTGGTATTTTAGTATACAATCCAGGCAAATCAGACTAGCTACACACACACACACAAAATTACTGCTAGCTAGGTCAAAAAGAAAGTCTGGGAAGAAGAATCAGTTCTCTGCACAGGAAACAAAAATGAATGATCTAAAAGGCTATTATATTTTGAGGAAAGTTGTGTATTTTGTAGACTGAATAAATAGTGATGATCCTTGCTCACATCAGCGCTTTCTCCTTTCTTTTAATCATGAGAGGGATTGGATTGGATTCAGCAAAACTGCAGAATAATCAGTTGCAGAACTCACAGGTTCTGGGGCTCCTTTATTCCCTCGAGCTATACTGAAGATCCGAAAAGATAGATCACCACATCTCTGAGCAGCACTTTGAGGAGGGAATTTTCTTAGCTGTTCTGTAATACTAAGGAATTAGAGCCATGTGGTAAGAAATAGATTCTATTAGAAGTGGCGAGGAGTCCTGTGGTACCTTATAGACTAACCGAAGTGTTGGAGCATAAGCTTTCATGGGCAAAGATCCACTTCGTCAGATGCATGTATTAGAAGTGCTTCCCTGGGCTATCAAGACCAAATCAGCCCAGCCTGCAAATGTAACTAGATCTGCAGTTTATTTAATCTGTTAAAGATCTGAAGTCTACAGCTGGAATGGTATGGTAGTCTATGTGCAAAGTATCCTTAATAAGGTATAAATAGCAAACTGTAAAATGTTCCCTTCAGTCCTCTCATAGTTGGTATTATTCCCATTTTAGTAGTGAGTAAATAGGCACAGAAAAGTTAAGTGACTTCATGGCAGAGAAAGAGGGGCATGAAAGAGACTTCTGAGTTAGGCATGGGTCAGCCAGTGAGAATACCTCAGTTCTAAAGCTGGCTCTGGTACTAATTTGCTATGGGTCTTTAAGAGTAAATTTTTCCACCTCTAAAATAGTAAGTGACATTTATCTGCCACAAAGGAGTGAAGCCTCCCTGAATAATGAATGTAAAGTGCTATGTAAGTGCAGTGTTATTCAGACTAGCCAGTGGCAGAGGTAGAAAGAGAATGTGGGAATTCTTGGCTACCATTGTGCATTCAATGCACTAATTACACCAACTATTGTATGTTTTCAAGTAGGAATGGACTGCTTTCGCTTCAGGTCAAAAATTCACAGCTGGAAATTTTCAAGCAAAATTGTCTTTATGGTTTTTTGTAAGACCCGATGCAAAACTTCTAATTTACTAAAATGTCAAGGATGTGAATCATACCAAATGCTCCTGAATTCTGTGAGCCAGTTTTGCACAGCTGCATTAGTGTTTATGATTTTCATGCACAGCAAAGTGTGACTCTGCTATCTTTCATGACCAACTAAAGAACCAATGCATTAAAAATATAGCTTTTCAAATGAACTTTGACAACTAGAAAATTTTGATTAGCAATGGAAATATGTCCTCAAATGTAAATACAGAGACTAAAATATTTTTATATTTTTTAATTGCTACATCATGTCTTTCAACTCTTTTATGAAATTAACGATTAAAATAGATGATACATTCTTAGCATAAACTTGGCCACTGTACATTTTTATTGTATAAATTAATGTTTTTAAAAGAACCAATAAAAATCACACCAGTAAAATTCCTGCAGGAATATAAAATCAATTGCAACTTTAAACAATGTAAATTCTATTTCAAATTCTCAAACAATACCTGTTTGGTTAATAATAAAAAGATTCAATTTGCTGTGTCTAAATTCCTTAAGTTACAGTAGCTGATGAGATTTGATTCTCTTTTGAAGCTTTACAAATAATATCACTTACTTGAAGAAGCTGTGATGGAGGTCACATGAGCTCACTAAAAGTTTACATTTGTTTCAAGTTTGTAAACAGAAATCTAATACATTCTGCATACAGTGGTAGTTAATGAGATTCATTCAATAAATTACAACCAATAATATATTTGAATTGAAGGAGTAATCACAGAAGTCTTCAAATCTGTGTAACTGCTATTTGCCGTACAATTTATAATAGATATTGAGAATTATAGCTGTCAGAAAACTTTAAAAGTAACATTATCTACTAAGGCTCTGAAACATTCTTTTTATATAAGGCTCTGATCTACTCAAAGTATAAATTATTATTAGAACTGGTGGGCTATACTATCAGCTAATATAAGTTAATGTAGATGCACTGAAGTCAATGGAGTTTCTGTGACATTTACCAGCTGACAAAATGGTCCTGAGTGCCTTATGGACAAGGGGATTAACTGACTCATACTTGAAAGTGAGGCACTGTTATAAAGTGCAACTGGGGTTTCACAGGAGCCCATATCCTGCATCAGCATATCTCCCTGCTGCCCTGGTCCTCTCCTGTTCAGAGAGCACTGCTCACTTTGGGGACTGCAATGATTGCAATACAGATGCTAATGTGGGAGTTTTGTGTACTTTGTAGTGACAGAGCCATCCCGCAGATTTCAAATTGCCAAATTCCCTGCATGCTAGTTATGGGGGGTGAAAGCCAGCATAAATTGGGGCTGACACAAGCCTAAAGCTCATAACTGCATTTCAGTGTAATTTGGTTTGAGAGGTGGCTATTAAACAGCCCTCCATCTATACACATAAATGAAACCAGTGGCAGTTAAACTCAGTAGAAGAACTGGAAACTAAATGGGAACTGAAAACTAAATACACTAGTCACATTAATCTTATATGAAAGATGAAAAGGTATTTGTGAAAACAACTCTTAACCTACCCAACAATATTACAATTATTTTAAAAGCAATGTACTCTTATAATTTCTTTACAAAGAATGCCATCAGTGTGGTAGATAAATTATTGGTCTTTCTTCAACTTACGAGTAGACTTTCTTGTTTGATCTGATTGGTCATGCGATAACAGTGGATCAATATAACTGAGTGTTCGGAAAATCTTCACATACCGGAAGTAGCTTATAACAAGGATGCCCCCAAAAATGGACAGTATGAGGACTGAAAAGCCAGCAACCTTACCAATGTGTGGACTGAAATATAAATGAAAGTTGATTAAAAATAGATGTATATTTTCAAATTCTCCCCTTTATGTAGTCAAGAATCTCTCTGACTTTATATTGACAGACATGACATAACTTTATTTGGAATCATGTCTGCTGGAAACTCTCAAAAATGATACACATCTTTGTGAAAATATGGCTGATTAATGACTAAGTTTTGCTTTTGCTTTTTATGGTCACAATGATGTAGAAGTTAAGGGCAAAATCCAAATGATTTTCTATAGAAGTAAATGGCAATACACTACACTATGATTTTAGTGGGACCAAGACCATACACTTTATTCTTTCTCTAAAGAGGTGAGTGAGTACAGTGGAAACACTATAAAAATTCATTCTGGTTTAGAAACATTTAGAAACATATATTTCCTGTACTTAATATGGGGAATACTGTTAGAACTGTTTGGATTTGGTTAGTATCTCTAGTCTAAGATCTCATTACCTATCTATAGGTTGGGAATGTTTCCAAGGGATAACAATATTTTTATTGCTTCATAAAAATTAAATTATAATATATTATGTTTAGTTGTGGCTATTGCTCTTACCTTTCTAATATGCCATATGTACGGACTGCAAACATTGTACTTAAGTCACAAAAACTGGAATATACAAAAAGACTATTACATATTTTCTCAACTATAAAATTATTCAGAATAAAAATATACAATCACAATAAAACCATCTTGTGCCCTTGTCCATCCCACCTCGTAATAACTAAAAGCTTTTATTCAAACTTCAATAAACACTCAGACTATTTTTTAAAACAGTGTGCTTTTATGCAGTTCATAATTTAATGCAGTATTGTCAATTCTTGTGATTTTTTTTTTGTGAGTGATGGGATTTTATCTTGGACTGGAGCCAATCTTGCAGTGATGTGAGTTGCCCCATCTCTCTAGTGAATTTCAATCCTGCCTGGGGAAAACCTAGTGACTGGCTTTTTTCTCCAACTGCCTGACTCCTGTGGAACAGCAGCCCTTCAGAGCTGCTGCACAAGCGAACAGAGCTCTCTTCCTCTACTCTCAGCAGGGGAGGGTGGGGGTGGACAATGGAGAGCAGAAAGAGTCCAGTAGCTCTGGGAAGATCGACTTCCTCCTCCCAACTTCTTACCTGTGAGCAATGGGATAGCTCCTCTGCTCCTTGCACCTCATCTACTGTAACACTACAGCTGAAATGGTTTGGGAAGCAGAAGAATCCTTGGAGCTGCCCACCTGCTCTGGACAGGATTCTGATGGAGCACCTCCATCCACTTGGAGTTGGAGAGTGGATAAAGAACCCCCGGAAGAGCAGAGGTGGGCATAGGGAGGCTAAAGTGAGGAGGGGCAAAATTGTTGGCAGTTCCGTTGGTCAGCAAAACTGATGTACGGTTTGGGTGCAGAACAGAGGGGGAGGGGACTAAACAGATGGGTACTAGGAAGGCAAAAAAGATGAAGACATGGTTAAGTGTGGAGCTGGGGTTAGAACTGATACAAGGGCAGAACTGACACAGGGCCTGGATCAAGGCAGGGGCAGTACAGGGTAACAAGCCAACATTCTACAAATACATTAGAAGCAAGAGAAAGACCAAGGACAGGGTGCAGATCCATTGGAATAACAGAACATGTGGAAATGGCAGAAATAGTAAACGAAGTTTGTTTCAGCTTTCATCAAAAACATTAGTAGCAACTGGACATTTAACATAGTGAACACCATTGAAAATGAAGAAGGATCAGAGGCTAAAATAGGCAAAAAACAAGTTAACAATTACTTAGATGTTTTCAAGTCACCAGAGCCTGATGAAATGCATCTGAGAATATTCAAGCACTGCCCAAATGTCAGGTGCACTGTGTCCACGGCTTGTGCATGCATATTGGCTCAGTGACTATTATGCCTTGGGCTCAATCTGCCCTACACTGGTGGCTCCTGCAGTGTGGGATACATAGACTCATAGACTTTAAGGTCAGAAGGGACCATTATGATCATCTAGTCCCGTGGTCCCCAACCCGGTGCCTGCGGGCGCCATGGCGCCCACCGGGCCCTTTACGTGCGCCCGCGGAGCACTCTGGGCTGGCCCCGCCCCCGGGCGTGCGGCAGGTGCCAGCCCTGGGCATATGGCTGGCCCCAGCCCTGACCCCCGGCCCCCACGCGTGCCCTTG